CTGCTCATGCATCCCTGCTGATGCTCTCAAAATGTTCCGTCTCAAGTCTGGCTCTCTCCCAGGCCCAGGGTGTGATGAAAGCTTCATTCATTGTTTCACTTCCAGTGCAGGCTGGCCAGGGCATCTCTAGCTCTGTTTTCAGTCATGCACATTATAATAAGCAATTTCAAGCTGTGTTATCCAGGTATTGTGACATGATGTCCTACCATGTCATGATATGACCATACATTTCCCTTCTACTTATGGTATGTTTTGATCTGAATCCGAAATACACGTGTTTTGTTTCCACAGCACAGTATAAAGAGAGCCCCCATGAATCTGGGTTTATATCTGAAGATGTCTGTTTATTTTTCCTCTGGTGGGGCGCACAGAATGGCTGCATTTACTGGGTGATACTGTGTGATATTTATCCTCTTGTCAAACTCCAGTGGAGACAAGAGTCCTATAGTCACTCAGCTGAGAGAAACTGTGTACATTCTATCTCGTGGTATCTTCACGGAAGAATAAATGCCTTTCTGGGAGTTATATTTTAGGGAATTGTGTTTAATTTTAGTCAAACATAAGTTTTCTGAGTCACAGGAAGAGTAACTGGATTAAATTTAATATTCTCCAATATACAGGAAGTCTTTTTTGGGCTCAAACCATATGAAGATACACATTTTGAGATAATAAAAAATAGAAGATCAAGGTAGGAAACTGACAACAAAAATATATATTTTGCTCCCTGTTTTTTTATCCTTTTCACAACGATCAAATAATTTATTTTGTAGAAAATGATGGGGCAGATGAAAAATTCGGATGCTTTGTTTTGCTGCAGAGGAGGTCGAGAAGCCCAGATGTCCCCTCAGTCTCATTCTCAAAGGCCTCGGGTCCATCCTGAGCGAGGAATGGCAGTGACAAAACTGGATGTTAGCGAGGTCCCACTCTCCACAGCTGCTACACACTGGGGTTATTTTAAGCTCTGAAGACAATTTATCAAATTACATTTCTGAAAAATGGTACAATGTGAGTCATATTTATTTCACATTTCTCTTGCTGCAGGCTCTCGCTATTGGCTGTGGGATATTTATTACCTCTGATGCTTGCTCTGACAATCTCGTTTCAGGGTCTGTATTTCACATTTAATGAGTGCTTTTGCAATTTCATGACTGTTTTCTGAAGTTAAGGTGGCACTTTGCAAAACCTAATGGTTTATGGCCCGTTTCAGACTTCACTGATTTCTGCCCATTACTATGTACATGAAACTACTCACAACTCCAGAATGTCGCTTCTCCCCCATTCTGCTGTGTATCAGCCAACACTTTGAAAGCACAGACTTTTAAGGGCAATGACAGTGACCATCTCACCTCAACCAGGACAAATTAGTCCACGTAGCAGTGTCTAAACCACATCCAGTGGGACCGCTGGTCAGTCTTGTGCAGAAGGGGGACCACACACTCCAGTGGGAAATGTCCAAGAGCTCAGAGCTTCCCTTGGTTGAAGCTATGTACTTACAATCAAGTCACTCCATTTATGGCTTAGGAGGGATGTATTCCTTGCTGATGCTCATGTTGCAGCATCCAAAGGCACAACAGAGACTGCCACCAGCTACGGCTGGGACTCTCCATGACTGGTTACTGCCTGGCCTTTGTCACACTCATCCAGTCTATGCCTAGACATGAAGGCTTCAGAGCTTCAAGGATACCAGTTGACCTCATGCCCAGCAGCCTCACTCCTCAGGACAAGAGGCTACGAGCGCATAACCCACAGCTACGCTCTGTCTTGGCCATCTGCAGGTCATCAAATTCACAGTGTATCTTTAAAGTGCTTGGTAGGTTGTGACAAGCATACTTAAAAGCATGATTAAAGTTCTGGCTAGTAAGACTGTCCGTAAAAAGGATGCCACTTTCCTTCAAAAGCAAATTTTTGTCTCTGTGGGGGGACTGAAGTTCCCTGGGGACTGGTCTGAGACTGAGGAATGCACATTTACAAGAGCAGGGAGCTGCTGCAAACCTCACCACCCGCTGTGCTGAGTGATGTGTCTGCGGTTTTGATCTTACGTTTTTTTATGATAAAGGCATAGTGGCACATGCACTTAAAACAAACATGCTCTGGAAAAAAAACACCTCCAGACAAATTTCCCCTACTCCTTCCCAAAACAAAACTGAAATAAACAAACCAAAACCTCTACAAAAACAAAATACGCCCCTGCACTTGCTCCTTTCTGCTGGGGAGAGAATGACAGAACAGATGTATAACAGAAGCTATTTATGTTGGTTAATACATTACTGGGGAGATGCTGAGAGATTGTAGTGATAAGTTTAGAAGCAACCATATAGGAAATATATTGGAATAGAGCAGATCCCCACCTGCCCACAATGTCGTTCTACCAAGCATTCATTTCTAAGTGATGTGTCACAGAAATCCTGCACTAGGTTCATGTGAAAAATCATGTGAAATACAGAGCGCACTCAGAGCCTTTCTGTACAACAACATCCTACGGAAATTCTCACTCTTCTGCTTCCTCATTGCTTTCACATTTCACAGAAATGTCCCCCTCCACTTGCAACCATCACAAGGAGCTGTACTCAGAGTACTGGGAGTTATAATAAGTCCTATATTTCGTTTTTCAAATTTTGTCTTCTTGCAAATATTTGTAGTCAGAAAGTGCTCTTGTGCTCCATGGGAAAATATTGGTTTCAGTGAAACTGTAATTTTCATTATCAGGATGATCAAATTAACAACATTAAAATAACAATGACAGAATCATTCTCATTTCCCTTTTCAAAGCAAAGTAAAACAACACTTTGAAATGGTGATTCAAAGCATGTTTAGCTAGAGCAAATCTTGTTATTTGGATCAAAACCACTGATCTTCCCCCCAACACTTTTTATTAAAGATGTTTCAAAATTTGCTATTCCACAAAGTCTCAGCTTTTCACTTCTCCACACTCCTCCTTGGAACACAAACTAAATAAGAATAATGATGACAAGAACAACAATGAGAATGAAAATGGCAATAACCTGATCCTAACGCACAGGGCTGTGTTATAAGACAGCGATAAAGCTGAAATTCCCTCTGCTGGGAAGACTTTCTGAATGCTCCAGCTGGACTCCTACTAATCAATGATCAGATGATAAAACATATTCATAAAAGCTGTCACTAACAAAGTGCCATGCAGGCTTTTATTTCCCCGCTGTCCCAAGCTCATTAATATTTGGACAAATTGCCATCCAATAGCCAATGAGCTGGTGCCTGGCCTCCACCCGCCATCCCATGGGAGCTGTGCTGAGCTGCGCAGCGTTATCTCCACTTGCTGATGGAGTTGTGTCTCCTTCTCGTTCCTTGAGATGCCATTCCATCAAGTGTGAAATTAACTTCTGCCTACTGTGTTCACCCACAAGACATGTATCTCTGCTGAAATCTCCCTTGAAGAGAAGGGAGACAAAGCCCAAAAAAAGAAGGATGGGGAAAAAAGAAAAAGGCCATCTGCTTTTGTCAGAGCATCACTTCAGATGTCACCATGGCAGGTAAATGCAGAAAATACAGAAAATTTACTGTCTGTAAATACATTCTCATGGCTGGCAGTACCTCTGGTTTGAGTCAAACCTGGCCAAAAATGTTCTTAGCCTAAACAGGGACAAGCAACTTTCCTGGTCCAATGAGCTTGCATGTAGAACCCAGGTGTGTGCGAGCAGTGCAGACATGCTGTGCCCGTTGGAGCTGTGGAGAGGGCGAACGACAGCAGTGTCCTGCAGCATCTGGTGGCTTTGGTGCTTGACCTGTCCACAAGTTCTCCAACCAACCAACCAACCAGCCAACCTCCAACCAACATCCAGAGCAGACCTCTTGGGAATGATGGGTACATATGATCCACATCCCAAGCCATAGCTCATTAACCCTTTCTCAGCCTCACAAATCCTAAGTACCTCTGCCTGGACACAAAACACTGGAGGTGTCAAAAACTTCAACCCTGGCTCATCTCTGGTCCTGCCTCAGGTGAATATACGCATACCACAAGAAAGATCCCTCAGCTGTTACAGACATTACTTACTGGGCATACTACTTGTGCAAATAAGTAGGAAAATCTATCAGAGTCATGCTTGCAGCTTTAGTTCTTATGCTTTTAATTTTTTTTTTTTTTTAATGCCTTTCTATGAACAAGGTGTTGAGAAGATATGTGTACCATGGGGTTCTGCAGCAGGCAAAATCTCTGTCATAAGACTTGTGGGAATACAGCTCTCAAAAATGAAGGAGGTATTCCCAGACATTATTTTAAAAATAAGTCTCTGCTTGTGTCTCTATCACAGATTTACATCTTCTGCATTTCATAGAGTTTTTCAGCCACTTTATATTGTGCTAGCTTTTCCAAGAAAAATTATCTAAAAGTAATCACAAGAGTCATCAATTTATACAGAGAATAAATGTCTCCACCAAAAGTCCCTTTAGGAACCCTTTGGACTTCGGGTCCTACTGAACTTTCAGGCAGCAGAACTATTGACTGAAATGGGAACCAGAAGGAAAATTTGGTACTTCTCTGACCTTTCTAAAGGCCAGTAATACTTAAAGCCTCTCAGTGTGCTCCATAATCTTTGGCACAGAGCATATAACCTTTCACTAGGCACCTACTGTATTATTTCTCCCTACTTTACTGGAATTTTATAGCTCTCCTATAATGCGAGAATGACCTTTTTTCCTAATGACAACAAAATAAATGACTGACAAATATTGATTGCAAATGTGTGGCTTTAGAAAATCTTGTTTGCATTTCTGTAAATTCCCTCAAAAGAACTCCCAACCATAAATTTAGAAAGGTATTTTTATGGTCCCAAGTTTGAGGTTCCAAGTTCACAGGTCTGAGACCTGTGAACTCTTGGATCCTTTCTGAATCTGAAACTGATTCAGAAAACTAGACTATGGTTCAGGAAGGAGGGTCAGAGAAGAACTTGTTCAGCAGCAAAGCATGCAGAACGATTAAGTCATATGAACTGGAGGAAGGTTCATTGGGGGAGGCAACCCACCTTGGAGAAATATCACATCCTTGCTGCATGAAAGCTCCCAGGGAGAACCAGAGACTGTTGAATATCCCAAACTCATTTGTCTGGTCATTGGCTGGCTGGTCTCGTCCTTCTTCAAATTCTTCAGTGTGCCACTCATAAGGGCTGAAGCGACTCACCAGGAAGAGGACAACACTCACTCCAATGTAGGCAAAAACAATGCACATCCATATCTCGTAAGCCAAGGGATCCAGAAAAGAAAAAACTCCTGGTTTGGACTTCTGAGGTTTTTTTATCATGATAGAGATACCTAAACTCATGAATGGTTTGGAAAAGTCTATAACTTCTTCTCGAACCAGAGTGATGGTTAAAGGTGCCACAGCCACATCCGCCCTCTGAAAAGGAGATACAGAAAAGAGATTCACATTCTGGGCATAAAATATATCTACTAACTCTAGCTTATGTTCCTTTGATCTCTGTTTACCCCCTGCTATCTCAGAAGAAATCAGACAAAACCAACTGCAAGAGAAATGTTAAAAAGGAGCAGCCCATAATATTGGTGTATTATTTCCATTTTGTCACTACTGATTGCCAGTTCTGTTTTGAAATCACAGCATTTTCTTTTTGCAGCCACCTAGCTCTTCTTGTCTGATTTATCCACTGATGTCACAGTCTGATGCAGATGATTTTCACTAAAAGAGCTTTATCATCCAGACATCAAAAGAGGCAAGGAAAGGCCAGTCGCCTGAAAAAGGATGCCAGGATGTTTACTTCCATCAAGAACTGTTTTTTGATTGCATAACTGATTGAGGAGAAGACGAAAAATGTTCCAGTGACACTGATGTGCACTCACCACTTATTTTACAATCCATCTTGAAAATGGAAAGGGAAATGCATTGAAATGGCTGTCAGCATATACTGTGGAGCTACCAGCAGGAGACAGATCGTGCCTCACTCCAACACAGTGACACAGAGACTTGGGCACTGATGCTTCCTACACTAATTTCCCCTTTCCCTACAAGGGAAAATTAGACCCCTCTGACTAAAAACATGACAGACTGCGAAGTACTGGAGTGAACCAGGTTTAGAAGTGTAGGGTGCAGGTGTATGTCTGAGATGATGGAAGTGAGTCACTGGACAGAAAATGGCCTAGTCTTACTGTTCACCAGTCATATGCTGTGTTTGAAATCTTATCTTTCTTTCATCCTGCCATAATCACGCAAATTTAAAATAGAGTAAAATTTGGAGATTCTACCCATGGGAAACTTTGACCTTTCAATACTTGTTCTTCCAAAAATGGAAAGAAAAAGAAGCTTGGAACTGTTGAAAGGAAACACTTTGACATTTTCATAGGCACAAAATGTGCTGTCCCTCCCTAAATTAAAATGTTTTACTTGGGCTGATTATTTGCATTATCAGAGCTGCAGTCCTCAAGACAGCTCAGGCTGACAGAAGGCAGGGCTCCTGTTTGCTCTAGGGCTTGAATATGTTCTCAGGTACCAAGAGCTAAAGACAATGGACAAGGTTGGAATCTCACCCCATAAACGAGTTCTCCCACCATGCCATTCCACGTTTTGGTGTCGGGGTCCCGGGCTCCGTACTTCCCATCTCTGACAATCTCCAGCCTGTAGTGGTAGCCAACATGCTTTGCGATCTCAGCGGCGAGCTCCACACAGTAGCCTTCGTACCTCTCATTGCCTTCAAACTGGTTGGCGTTCTTCTTGAGCATTACATATGGGTCTTCCTGGCACAGAGAAGACCAATATTGAGCCACACTCCACATTCTAGAGATGCACACCAGAGCCCAGTGTGCAGCTTCTGGTTGCCTTGCAAAGCTCTAGCTTTGTGCTCCTGCACCAAAGGGCATAGTCATCACACAGTGGGCTTATTTTAGAAGGTATGAAGTGTGATTTTTATTGTGGCATTTTCTGTTTGTTCATGCAGAATCTGTGTGCAGCTTCTGCAGTGATGGACCTGAGGGGAATGGAGTAGCTGGGGGAATTTGGGCAACAAACCTTTCAGTGCAGTTCTGCAAGGGATATTTAGTGCATCTGAGCTGTGAATTTTCAAAGGCATGTCTGCCTGGAATCAAATCTGCAGGACAGGAGAGAGCCTTAAGATGTTTAACTCAGTTTGGGTATTGTGTCTTCCCTGTAGACTCACAGTAAGCATTCAACAAACAAGTTAGTAAAAAATTTCATGTTTCTGCAGGGTAAGCGTATACAATGACACAATACATGATACCATACATTATGGGGTACCTATTATTCCTTCATGATTATAGTGGAGATTTGTTTTTAAAGCTATGATTCAGCCTCTCTGCACAATACAGCTTATCCTTCCCAGAATTACAGCCCCCATTCTGTGGGCTAAATACAAAGCACAGGTGCAATGTTCCTAATTTACCTATGCTGATGCCTCTACTATCTTGTCATAATCTTTTGTATTTTCTGCACTTAAGCATGAGAGCTCTTTAATACCTATTTAATTAGCCACAGCAATTTTCAAATACCTTTATGGACCCTGCAGGAAACAGTAAGTGCTGTTATTATTATTATTATTGTTATTGCTATTATAAAAATGATATAGTACAAAGGAGGGCACACGAGGGGGAAGAGGGAGTCTGCACATCAAGCAGATGGGGAAGAGGGAGAGCTGGGATAGAAGTCACAGCACTTACTAGGATAGTTGTGACTATGTAAGTCCTGTTCTGGAGGCTTGTAGACTCATTGCCGCTTTGAGTATCTATGGCTGCTGGAACCAGCTTCTCATCTTCATTCCAATAACCAATCTGCCAATACAAAACCAGGGTATCTCATTGATATCTCTTTGTAATATTAACCAAGATACAGTAACAGGGTCATCCAAGCAGGGTCAGCTCACTCTGTATGTTCATACCCAACCAGAGATCTTCTCTCCTGATTCTTGATGTCTTTTGCCAGGGGAACCAGGAACTCCCCCATCCCACCATGCTTTCAGCCTGAAAATAATGTGCATGATACTCTATGATAGCAGAGTGCTTGTATGCACGTAAAAACAATTGGCACACAGTACTGGAGGATTATTGCAATTCCCTGCCCCTCCCTATTCCAAGAGTTCACACTTCCCCTGTGTGACTTCTGAATATTTTTCTAATGGTGAGCATGCCTGCTTCATGTCCAGATGCTACAGAATGATAAAATGCTATCCTGAAGCTGAAAGCCTGCATCCCTATTCACCGCAGGGGGGTTGGGCTAGATGATCTCTTAAGGTCCCTTCCAACCCAAAGCATTCTATGACTTCTGGACTTCTATGAACGTAGGACTGACTGTTAGGACAACTTGAGACAACAGGACAAAAAGTCAAGTGAGAAAAAAAAACCCAGCCCTGGCTAATGTCAGAAAGTTTGGGGTTATGAATAAACTGAACAGTTGTAATGGGAAGAACTCTCATGTTAAGCTGTGCTTATTAATAATTAGGGATGTGCGCTGATCTATCACTGCTTACAGGTAAATTGGAGTGCCACCAAGTATCACTAGGAAGATCATTGCTGAGGTTATTTGCTTTGAGGGCTTGATTTTTTTTAAGAGGTTTTCCATCACCTCACGTAAGTATGCAGTTGCCTGAGCTTTGCTCATGTTAAAGGAATTTCTTATCACAGTAAATGGGAAAGGGTATTAACACAGGGCACCACCAGGAGCCTGCTGATCACAGAATCATAGAATCATAGAATTGTTTAGGTTGGAAAAGACCTTTAAGATCATCCAGTCCAACCATTAACCTACACTACCAAGTCTACTCTAAGCCAATCAAGGGTAGACTAGACTAAACCATGTCCCAAAGTGCCACATCTACCCGTTTTTCGGATTAGAGATCATAACAGCTCAGGAAAATAAATCTACGCAGGCTTCTCATCTCTGTTGCATAGACAAAAGGAAAGGAGAGTGAGGAAAGAGCTTCCAAAGCTCTGCCCTAGAGCAACATAGATGGAGACACGTATGTTTGTTTTGCACCTCTAACCTGGTGGATCTAAGATAAAAAATGCATCATGGCAGTGATGTACACGTCTTCCAAACAAATATAATTTCTGTCAGTAAATACACAGCAAAATCAAGACATTTAGCCATTATGTTTCTTCTCCTCTAGACTCTCTCCAGATTGCCAACTTCTTGAAGATCAGACTCCCAAACTGGACATAATACTGCATTTGTCCTCTTACGAATAGCACATAGAGGAGGAAGACCACTTTGTATGTCTTCAAAATGACACTTCTTTTATTTCTTGATGAGAAATTTGCCTTTTTTCACTTGACTGTGGTGGGCTGTGATCTCACATTGGCTGTTCTTAGGTGTAAGTATGAATTGGGGGTAGGGGTTGTAAATGTGGAACTTTCACTATTTGCAGTTTTTCTTCATTTGAAACAAGTATTTTATTTTTCAGGGGATTGAGGGGGTGCAGAGGGACTCCATTGAATGCCCTATTCCAAAATATTTAGTAGCTCTCCTTTATCAATAGAATAACTGAGTTACACTTTGTTCTTCAAATAGGTAGTATCTAAAATGGGACATACGCACATGGAGTCAGATTTTCAAAAAGATTCATGTTTCAAGGGCTCAGCAGCCCTGAACAAGGCCAGATTTTCAAAGTGCCTGGGATATAGAAAGGGATAAAGACTCCAGAACAGCACAAATGTCTGTACAGCTATCAGGACATGGTTAGTGGTAAAGCTTTTGTCACTTCAAGGAGAGCAGAATTAGGTCAACCTAAAAGGTTCACCTCCACTGGTTAGGGCAGACAGCTTCTGCCTGGGTCTGCCTTGACTCTTCCTTGGAAAAGAAAAGTGGGAGAGCAAAACCAGACAGTTGTGTAGCTGGGCCTGAGCCAATGTGCCCTGCCAATAGCAAGACTGAGTGGGCAAAGCTTTTACTATCCTGGAAATCCCTGCCCCACAGCTGAGATGCCCTTGTTGCTCTTGATAACCCCTTCCATATGTTGTATTTTTTTTAGTAATATACCATGAGTTCTCCCTAGTGCTTGGCTTTGCTCATGCAGAGAGCTGGGAATGCACTTGTGGTGACTCCACATGCAAGCTTTCATGAACAGAAACGTCTGTGGACACCTAGTCACACCATAACTCAAATACCAGGCTGGTGCCTGACATGGCATCTCAGGTCACTCTCTACTTTACCTTTCTGATTCCATCATGTTTCATCTCTATCACATGGAGGGTGTAGTTGGTCCTCCGTCCCTTCTCGTTGAACTGAACATTGCCAGACAATCCTTCAAAACGGACCTTAAAGAAATAAATATCAGTGAGGAGAGCAAATTGGTCAGCATCCCATGTGGTGGTGACTCGGCAGCAGTAAGAGGTGAGAGGAGGTAGGATGGAGAGCACAGTCGTGTCTCTCAGTTGTGTGCAGGGGAGACAGGACATCTATCTGACACAGGGCTTTCACTTAGGTTCACTCTCTACAGCATGCCTGGCCATGTACACAGCCTTTCTCTCAACTTACCCTTTCTTTTATAAACCCTTTCTCTTAAAATTTAGTGGTCTATTACTGAGGTCAGCAATGCATGAGAGCTAGATCACGCGTGTAAGTCCATCACCACTTGGGATGTGACAGTGAGCTAAATCAGCTCTGAACTCCTTGGGTTTTGTGTTTGTTCATGTTTTCTAAAGCTGACCTGGAGTCAGGATTTGGTAAAGAATTTGTCAGTCCAAATCAGGAACTGTATTTGGAGAAAATACGAAACTGTGGCCACAGCTCCCAGCTGCTGCCTTCCAATAGAGAGGAGTTTATCAGTTAACAAGCAAATTTAATTACCTCTGCACCAGCCTAATAAAACTTGACAATTTAGTATTGTAAATGAGATTTGCATAGGAAACATTGAATCATAAATCTCAGCTGATAACACTGCTGAGCTGAAGAGCATTGCTCAGGCATCACATCCCACTTCCTGAACTTCTCCTCTCAGCTGGCCATTTGACTTGTTGCAAAAGTGCCCAGCCTGGCATGGAAAAGGGCTTCTGACTGGAGTCACATAAGGTGTGTGGGAATTGGACAGTGGGGACCAGGAACATGGGAAAAGGAGTGCAGGTTTGGGTTGCTATAGAGGCCATGTGGAGAAGTACTCATGCCACCAGATTAGGAATTTTGTTTTCAACCTTTCCACTTGCTTTGGAAAAATTTGTTGTCTCTGCAACTGAAGTCTTCCCACATGCAAAATGGGAACAGGTATTTAGCTGCTTTTTTAAGTCCTCTGAGATCTTCAGAATAAAGACCCATGGTGAAGAAATGAGGATATATCATTATGGAGGAAATCTGTTGCTAATCTGCTTAAACTGTGTTTGTTTTCCAGCTATTATCGCAAAGGTTTGTCATGAAAACCAACATCTGCCAGTATTTTCTGAAGCTCCTTCAAGTCAAGAGGTATTCCTGGTGACATTTGGAGAAACATGCTTTTACCTTCTCACAAGACACAACATGCCCATAAAAGATAGATGCAGTAGAAAAGCACCATTGTCTTAAGCACTCCTGTGCCTGCTTTTTCATGGCCCCTTTGGTTTTCTTTTCATGTCCTGACTGATTCTGAAGCTCAGGTCATGGGTGCTTGTGTTTTGTTGCTTTATACGCACTAAAAGGCAGGTGTACAGCACCAATTTCTTCTATCTGGATGTATGAAATCTTAATCCTGCGATATCCGTGTGGCACTGAAATGGTAAAAGGGGTCTCTCCCACCCATCCTGGAGGCTGCAGCACAGCTTTTCCATCATTTACCATCCTCTGAGACCCCTTGAATCACTACAAAATATAGTGAGGACTAATTTCAACAGTGCTAAGCACCAGTAAAGTCAACTGGAGACATGGAGCATTTAAGCACATTTGTGTATGACACAGGCATGTGGTTCTTTGCTGGGATGCTATTGTGGTCTTCTGGTTTACAGGGTTAGTCAGCAGCTAGGGACTAACTAACTGCTTACTAGATGTGGTAGCCAAGTAATGTTAACAAAAAAATCTGTTAAAAATTATCATAATCTTTTCTAAGTACAACTGAAACCTCAGTGTATTGGTTTAAAGCAGTATTTTGTGAGCATTTTCCTGGAAAAAAAGTAATTCTCTTTAATAAAACCATACATTTTGCTGAAATGTGTTAGATTTCTGTTTTTGAAAAATTGCAGAATATTTCAAATTGCTTTTCAGCTTTACTCCTGCCATCCATGAATCCTTCCTACACTAAAGAGAAATAAGGCAATTCGGGAGCTTATTCCATTTGAGTAGAAATAAGTAGAGAAACTTTTTGCTTTTAAACAGCTTATAAAATTTTAGGCATTAGCAAATGGGATGGGAAGAGAAAGTACACCGTGAATAGCTGTAAGAATTGCCCTAATTGTGAGTCTTTACAGAAAGGATAACTCAAACCTTCAATGTGATCACAAGTTCTTCTATTCCCATCTGTCTCTTTCTTGCTATAATACTAAATAGTGGATGATTATTAAATTCATAGTTAAAATTTCCCTAGGAGACTTCTGCCACTGTGTGTTTCAGAGCCTTTTATTTTGACCATCACAACTGAACTGGTCAAACCTTTTGAAAATTATGATTTTTCAAAGGTAAAGAAATAACTTTTGCCAATAGCTCTTTCTGTTCTTTGCCCAAAATCACTACAGCCGAAAAAAATGAGTTTAGAAATTGTTTTAATGAAGACACGAAACTTCAGAGGAGACTTCCCAACACACAAACAAAATTGCATCTTCTAGCTGTCCAATTTTGATATCCTATTCTCATAAATTCAATAAAGGAAAATGCTGGGGGACCCATTGCTCATCAGAAGACTTCCAAGTATTTCATGTTTATTAGGTAACCGATCTCCCTAACGCATCAAGGAGGCTGATTTTATTATAAGGGTTCGGAGAAGCTATGACAGTGATTTGCCCAAGGTCATACAGAAAGTCAATGACAGGCTTCGGAACAAATTGAATCCAAGCAAGAAAATCAAATCAGATGCAAGATTTGGTTTTAAAGGAATTGTTTACCAGTAAGTCAAAACCAAACCAAACCAAACCAAATTACTTGGGGAAATTTACATATGATGCAAATTAACCAATTAATTTTGTTCTTTTTGTCTTCTTCACAGTTAAGGAAAGAAGATGTGATAAGCTATATTTGGATAACACTGAACTAGCAGTATTTGCAAGGAATCCATCTATTTTTGTCTGAAAAAATTAAAAATACTAGAAATCAATGTCAGTCTTGAAATTTAATGAAAATTTGAAATGTTCTACCTTTCTAAGTTTTTGATAAGAGTGTATTATTTTTCTCTCTCACTGTAAGTTTCATGTAGTAGTTTTGTTTATTCAAGACAAAAAAGGAAGATTATCAGATTTAAGGAATAAATTATCTAAATGGCTGTTATTAAGACTTTTACAGATCCTCACAGTAGGAAACAAGCTATAATCTGGGCTTTGAGAACATTTTGACGACTGCCAACACATAAGGCAAAATTCACGTGGTTTCAAGCTTCATTAGCAGTCTGGAACTGAAGCCGAGTTCACAGAGTCAAAGGATCTGCAGAAAATATGGTGTGAGAAGGTCTCTCTCTTGGGAAGGGGAAGTTAAAAATAGGAACCTGTGTTTTTATGGGATAATATTTTCACTTTTCCACCCCAGAACATCAACAGAAATTAGAGACAGCAAGGAAACCTTGGATGGTACCAGGAAAAGCAGTTTACTGGATGCACCCCTGAACTCTTTAGGAGACCTGGCTTTAATCCGGAAGGATCATTTCCTGATCCCAAGCGATTTGTCTGAGTGTTTCTGCTGCTAATTGCCCCTCTTCCCCCACCCACAGGCTACGTTCAGCTGCCCTTGCAGTGCACACATTGTTTGGGTTTCAAACCTGCTGCAGTGCTCTCTGGATGTCGATGCCTTGTCCCCAGGGCACAGCCGGGTTGGCAAGGCAGTCCCCAGCATTGCCACGACGGGAGATGTCGATCCGCTGCCTCCGCAGGTTCTGAAACGCCTCAGCCATCACCCGGACCCCATCATATGTTAAAGCTGATGTGTACTAGAAAGAGAAGAGGAGTTGTACATTGCCCATTAGGGTGAGCTGACCTCAGGCGTGCTACACTGGTTCACCTCATGGCAAATTTTCAGATGATCTGTCCTGTTCTCATCCTTCCATCTATGAAGTTCAACAGCCTCTTGCTCCCTGTAATCACTACTGTCCTGTTGACTCGTGAAAGTTGGTTTCTTCTCTCCCAGAGGATGGGAAAGTGAAGAAGCTCCTGATGCGGATTCAGATTGCACTCCCTGAAGAGGACTCAACCTTAAAAGCCATTCACCTGTTACTCAAGTCTTTGTGTTTAATTAGAATCATTGACCTGAACTTTTAAGGAATACATTATGCAGTGTAAATGTGAGATACGCAAAATCAAGCAACAAATTACTTTCTGGACACAGATGGAGACCAGCAAACTCTACTTCAATGTGCAAAAATTCTACAAAAGATGAGTTTATGCAAGCAGAAACTTGTACAGAAACCAGTGTAAAACTCTTGGCATGAATGGTAACCATTAGAGTTAATTCCTTTTCCTATGATCACCTACAGATTTATTTGTTTGCAACTTTCTTAAAGTAATACTTCCCAAGCTGACATTTCTATTGCTGAGTGTTTGTCACAAGTGTATTTGTTTTCAAATGTCAGATAGAAAAAACCCAACCTCCCCCCTCCACCCACCCCTTGACAGCTTCAAAATCTTCTGACTGTGGTAGGAATTAAAATATAGTTTTCCCGCTGTTGTACACACTGATTTGAAATGCTCAGAAAGAACATCTGGAAAGATTTTACTATCACTGGTTATGTAGTAAACAAGTCAAAGGTTAAGGAGTTAATGAGGTTTTTTCTTTTTTATATACAAAACATTATGAGGTGTTTAATCCTTAGCTTTGAGGAGGGTAAAAACTGGGAGACTGAGTGAATACGCTAACTTGTGTATTTCTTAGCAGGTGACAACTACTGCCTAGTAAAATTTAGACAACATTGAGGCACCTGGAATGGATGATGTTCATAATTATATTAAGTGACAGGTTTTCAGAGCGAGATTACAGAGCTCTGTGTGATCACAAAGAGGTGAGCATAACTTGAACTGAGCCAGATGGATCCTAAATTAGATGGGTTTTTTTATACCACTTGCCTTTGGCCTCTTCCAGTCCACACGAGGATGCTCCCTGGCATCATTATTCCTCCACTGCTGCATGATCCTGGCAGGAACAGCATCCGTGTAATTCACCAACTGGAAGCCAGTTACATTGGCTCCACTCTCCCTGAATTTGGTCAAGTCAATATCCATGAATCCCTAGTACAGGAGAGAAACAGGAAAAGCTCATTAGAGGAACACATGTCTGGGTGGATAAGAGGAATCCTGCCTATCTGTGCATATGGCAGCTAGTTTAGGAAAAATCTCTTCCCTCTGCAAGGTAAGGTCCAATTCAAGAGAGGCACCACTTCACGGACCACACAGTGAACTTGCGTTTCTCACAGGCTCTGAGCTGGCTGTATTCTTCAGTTTCCACCCAGGGAGACAATTAGTCATATTAATAACAACTCATTTGCAAGAAAGCTAGCAGAATAGTGGAAAAAATATATCTCAAATAATGCTTGGCTGAAAATAACAAAATTCTCCAAATGTATTAGAATTATTCACCCAGCTCTAACTTTTATGCACTCAGTCACCAACGGAGAGTCTACTTCTTTTCAAGTCACAGTAGTCTCCTTCTTTTCAAGTCACAATTGGTAGGGAAAAACAAAGCTTGAACAATGAACTTTCAGCAGATTGAGAAGTGGTCAGTCAGCCTGCCAAAGGAACCTGTCTGTTAGAAAAGACAGGTTATAGGATTTACTAATTTGGCAGAACAAAAGGGTACTTTTTGGACTTCAGATTACTAATAAAATACATCTCTTTCATTTCTTTAGTGTTCTTCCCTACTTCTTGCCCACTGCATGTGATGAACACAAGTGTGCAAATACATGTGTATCGGGGTGGCATTGTAGAATTATTCACTCCTGTTGAGTCAGAGGCAAAAAATAATTAGAGATACACTGCAAGCAATATGGAGAAGAGGTCATTTTTTGGTCTTCCAGCTTTGATCCTGTCTCTTCAGCACTGCTGTTATGCAAAACTGTTTGCTGTGCCTCCTTGCACAAAGCAGGTTGCTTGAACAGCGACTCTGCCCTCCTGCTTGGGCTGCTGTGTGTGGGACAGGCTGGAGTCTGGTGCTTTTTCTTTTGGAATGCAAGCACAAGAGATGCAGTCAATTATTTTCCCTAGTACCATTAGCCACCGTAAGGCATGAGGGAAACTGAATGAAGGGACTATACACAATGCAATCACTTGAGCAATAGAAGAGATTGTTTGAGCTCTGCCTTCCCTCTGGCCTCCACCACATGCTGCTGGTGCATGTTCTCTGCAGGCACCTTCTCAGCCTACCGCTGGGTTTATCTCCCCTGCTTGCTCTCAAACATATGATGATGGTGTGAGTTAAAAAAGGCAAGTCACACTATTCCCACAAGACACTGGTCAGGTTTCCAGAATGGTGCTCTCTGTGCATAGGCTGGGGGAGATAATTAGCTTATTAACTTCCAAGGTCAGGATCAAGCCGTTAGATGGAAATGTGTTTGGGAACAGGCAGCTTGCAAGCAAAAGACTAAATTGCCCTCTGACATCAGCATCAGACTGAGGGAGTCATAAGTGATTCAAAAATGCCTTTAAAGACTTTCACACTTTTTCTTCCGGCTTTTTGTAAGCAATTTGGCATCCACTTAGAAGGCTGTGGATTGGATACAGGTGTACAGATGCTCTAAATAGATTATTTGTTTTGCTTCAAAGTGCAGTGATTTAGGTTTTTTAAAAAAGTGATATTTTGTGTGTACATATTCCTCAGTATCCTGGTTAAACCCACATCAATCTTGTTTGTAATTGCTAGCGTAGGGGTTTCAGAAAGCCAGAGCTGTGATTAATGAATAGGAAATGCAGCAGGATAATTGTCCCTGTCATCTTAATGCATTTCAGGCCAAGTGTTTTTTGACACACAGAGCTCCTAAGGTTCAGTAAGAGGGACCTCACAGGTTGCCAACTGGTTATTCATGGCTAGGACCAAATTACACTGACATTTTGCTCCTGGGAGGTACTCAGGGGAAAAAGATCTGTCAGAAGAAACTACCACACAGCAACTTGAAGTTTGCATCACCAGCTCCTCCTTGGAAGGTCTACAGAGGCATGAAGAAAAGTCCAAGTTCACAACAGAGTATGAGTAAGATGTCTGGTGTCTTTAGCCCCCCTCAACAAGCAGATTTAAATAGGAAAAGTCAGAAAAAGATTATGACACCAGTGATGAGACAGCAGCACTTGAAAACACTTTCACTGTTTTCCCCAAACCATTCTGCAACTGAAGCAAGTATTCAACAATATTAATTGGGACTAATCTTATATAAAATTTTAAAATAATCTGAATAGGCAAAAGGAATTATTTCTTCCTGAAGATTGTACTAATTTTTCCCAACGATTTTTGACTCAATTCAAGTTCTTTAAAAAGTGTGGAGACCTCTGAAGATTTTCCAACAGTTTAAGGCTGTTGGGACCACAGAGGACATCATTAACCTTGAATATGCCTTTGCATCTAGCATTTATCAACTGCTGAAATAACTGTTTTCACCTGTTATCCCTCCTCCACATGCCCCAGTACAAGGTCAGCATCAGAACGGTCCTAATTACAAAGGCATTTTAATCACTGCACCACTGAAATCTGCTCAGAGCAGGTCTGGGTGACATGACAGCCAATAAAGTGAGAATACCAGAGGTCAGCTATTTTAGAAAATAATTCCCAGAGGGGGTGAATTCTTGCTGGCTAACATATAAACAAAAATATATCAAAAGTTTTGCAAACTGTCTCTTGAAAATGCTTCTATTGACAAAGTGGCATCAGGAATTAAATATGCTTATCTGTCTGGCGTATCAGTCAGTGCTTGTAGGAAACAGGAGAACAGGAGAATTACAATATTTGCAAGCAAAGAAGTCATCGATCATCTGTCACCTTGTAACAACTATACCCACATGTTGCAAAAAAGGGACCTTTTATTTCGTTTTCAATTAGTCATATTTGGAAAACAGAAAATAAGTTTTTAAAAAAATGACTAAAGAAAGACTGCAACCTGCTACTGGGGAGCAGCAGACATGCTTTTGCAGTAATAGATTTAGTATCAACCAGTTTGGGAAAGAACCAGCACAGAAATGCTTCCCTTTGCCATCCAATCAAGTACAGCAAGCAATGAACAGTGCTGGAACAACATACTCCGTAGGACCTCTGTGGTCCCATGGAGTGGTCAAATGGTTTTGAAGTCGTTTCAAAAATTTGCCAATGAATACTGGAAAAAGCATGCTTTGCAGCTGCATCTGGAGCACAGTGGACTGTTCAGGGAAACGAACTGAGCCCTTGGAATTTGGTGGTATGTGACTTTCTTCAGGCTCTTCTTCAGGCTGAACCATTTGGGACCTATCTGTTGGACATGCAGGTATCTGGCTTCACCTCCCTAAGCAGCACTGCCAGTCCCCTGGGGAGGAAGAGGAGGAATACAGGAACTCATGTTCCAGCCCAGGCGCTGTGCCAGCACCCCTGGCAAAGTAGGCATAGCGGGACCCAGAGGCAACACGGAGCTCCCCAGGGCCCCAGATAGGGTCAGTGCCCAGGATGTAGGTACGCCAGGGGAGACAACGCATCTGCAGGCGCAGTTCTCCCTGGGAACCATCAAAACCAGGCTGGAAGGGACACCACATCAGCTGGCCCATCCCCTGCCCTACAGCAGGATTAGCTGTCCCTTTGATTTAAATTCACTTCGCAATACCATCTTGACAAAACAGAGAATATGGCCTCCTCTTTGCATATACCTGGAAAATGCCTGGCTTTCACTGAATGCCATCGATTAGCAGGCTGACAATAAAACACAAAAATCTGGACCCATCCGTGCTGATGGGCTGAGACAGCCTCCCTCCTCCATGCCTGCTCTGACTCAGAGCATCTGCAACACACAGTTCAAGCAACAGCCAGGCTCAGTTCAAAGGAGGAAACTTGCTCTTTAGCCCTACCATGGACTGTTCTCTCTGCATTAATAAACGTCACAAAGTGATTACATGCAGAAGTCTTGCTGCTAGTAAATAATATGGGCAGCTGTTATGACCTTCTTGCCTTCAGATAGAAAACAGAACAGTACTGGGAAGGGTTTTTTCCTCATTGTGTTTTCCTTGCTGCATCTGTTCTTTATGCTGTTCTTAAACTGAAAACATTTTTCAGCCAAAGGTTGTTTTACTGTCCCATTCACTGCCTTGGTTGCTGGGAGAGATGTCAGCAAGTCACACATTTATATTCTTATCCACTTCTTGTGGGCTCAATCATCAAAGGAAATGCATAATGCAGGAAGACTGATGACTTGAAATGGGCCTCATGAATCCATCTTGATTAACTGGTCCACGAAGGATCTGTCTTGAAAAGAAAGTCCCCAGAAATAAGCCAGCTCCTTATTTATACCCTGAATACCATGAGGAACCAAGGCATTGAGTGGGCAGTGCAGATGGCTGTCGGACGGCACAGGGAAAGCCTCATTCCTTTGTGCATGACCCTCCTCAAATCTGCTAGCACCACTTAGTTCTCTGCATGTCTCCTTTCACCCTCACATTTCACTGCCTCACCATCCTAAACCTCTGCCTCCTCTCCCCACAGTGATGACACCGGGTGGCATTGCTCCTTCTGGGACATCATCCCAGCCTGTGGGAATGCCGCAGACAGCAGCAGCATCCCCTCCATAACCAGACATCAACAGGCAGCGAGCCACTGCCCTACACCTTCAAATTCTCTCTGTATTTCACTAAATTGGTATTAATTGCCGGCTC